ATGTTAAAATGGCTGTGATTGTAATTGTGTGCATCTGTATATGTGAATGTTCAAGGTTTCAAAGGCAAGTCGAAACCCAATCTGTTGAAGCAGGAGACCAGCAGCTTGGCTTGCGGCCTGCGCATCCTGTTCCGTATGTACACAGACGAGAAGCGCAAAGATGCCTGGGAGGAGGTCCAGAGACGACTGCTCAAGTAAGGCAGCACACATGTAACGTAATCATCACCAGTGTTTCTGCTGATTCTTCCAAGTAGTCAATGGATGTGAGAATAAAATCCACTCAGCCACCTACACTGATTGTAAATACAAGCATCAGGATTACTGCAGTTACCCTTCAGTTCACCTGTGCCCGTTCCCCACCCTCCCTACAGATGAAGGCTGTAGTACACACAGATGCATTTCACTGACATTCATAATGGCTTCTGTCGCTACTGTGTTCATTTTCTTTGCACTGATGACACTGCTGGCATTTTTTTACAGCCCCTCCTTATTTTTACACAGTAAACAGCTCCTGTTAAAACATATGTTTCATAACATTTGGAATAATAGATATACCTGTGCATATGCCTAGAAATGTGCGCTCAGCTGGACAGAATTCAAAAACCAGTTGGTGCACGTGGTGGGAATTTGTAATGGAAACATAATGAAAACATTCCCAACAACAAATTGTCAACTTGTTAACATGCATGAACTATCTTCTGACAGTAATCAGTTCTCTCAAATGCTTGTCTTTGTGTGCATACTGGACGTTGTCGGAGTTGAGGACTGTTTTGTCGCTTTACTGGGTTTAAGCCCAAGGCATCTCTCAGACAGTCACCAGCTACAGTGTGAGAGTAAAGGACTCGCGCTGAGCAGAAGGATCAGAAGCCACCTCAAAAGAAATCAGACACCACTGGCCCTGAGTGGAGGGGAAGGGTGTTTTAATGTCTCTATCTACTACTAGTTACATGTGGCAAAGGCACAGCGTGTGCACAGCTCTGCAGTTCTCTGGAATAGATGCCATAGTGCTGTATAGATCCAAAGGAGGCAGCACTTTCCTTCATTCAGTCCACACTACTGTTCTCACTGCATCTTTATTCAACGCCTCACAAGAAGCTGTCACCCCGTTTCTCTCCCTGCCTCACCTGGCTCATACTGATGATATTAAGATAAAGCAGAATCATCAGCTGTCTCCCCTACTTTGATTATGACAGAGAAGATGAGAAAGAGGAGGGGGCAGGGTAGGAAGCCTGCATGGAAGAGTGGCACAGAAATCCTAATTCACCAAGATAGTGCTTGTATTTTGTGCCCCCACCCTGTCTTCACCTCACCACACCTCATTCAGGCACACATTAACACATGCGCTGACAGACCCTTGTTTACCAGAGGACATGCACAGCACACATGCGGGTTTGATTAGTTCAGGCCACAAAACAGATTTGGGAGGTGATTGGGTCACAGGGATTGGAGTGTGAGAGAGCTGTGAGTGTGAAGGAGGGAGGGGAGTGAATGGCTAACAGATGGCACCGATGTGAGAAGAGGGCCGCAGGGTTAGAGGAGAAAGGTCAAGGGTCGGCTTCCTCAAGCTTGAACTGTATAGAAACATGTCTAATTGTTTTCATAATAGCCTCAGTCGACAACCTCAATTTTCTGCTACTGAAAGAAAACAGTTTTTCATGTGACAAGTGAGGCAGAGAAGCAGATGCTGTCTCATTAGAGTACAGTACAGAGGAACACAGCTCTGAGAGGTTTCTTTCATAATGTCCAATATTTTTTTCTGTTTTGATACTGTATGTGTTTCTGAACTGTTTCCCTCTCTGTCTGTGTGCTGTAGTGTGTGCAGTGAGGCTGTAGCGTACTTTTTGGCCCTAACCTCAGAGAGCCACAGAGAAGCCTGGACCAACCTGCTGCTTCTCTTCCTCACTAAGGTGCTAAAGATCAGTGATGAAAGGGTAAGAGCCATTCCTGACTGCTGCGGTCTGTGCAAGCAGACGACTTTCAGAGCACTTCTACCATTGCTATTACACGCAACATAAATAAATAAAAAAATAAATAAAAGTTTGGTGAAATCATAATCCATATATCTAAAGCTTGTTGTCATGTGTGCGCCTTGTTTGAAGCTAAATATGCCTCATGCACTGATTTAAGTTTATGGTTTAACTGTTCTTTTTTTTGATTTTTTTAATTAAGACATCACATTGGAGCCATTTTGATATTTTAAGATCTAGGTTTAAAAAAAACCCCAGTAAATAGCAAAAAATGAAGTGCAGTTCTACTTGCATGATAATGCACTAGGACTTAATGTGCCTCTGTTTTTGCCCGACTCTCTCTCTCTCTCTCTCTCACTTGCACCTTTAGTTCAAGGCCCATGCGTCCAATTACTACCCTCTGCTATGTGAGATCATGCAGTTTGACCTGATCCCTGAGCTACGGGCTGTTCTAAGAAAGTTTTACCTGCGGATCGGCCTTGTGTTTAACATTTCCCAGCTGCCCAAGCCTGCACCACAGCCTCTGCTGACACATGTAGAGCGGGAGACGGACACAGCGGTGGGGGAGGAGGCTCAGTGATGATGCGCAACAAGCAGCCTGGGACACACAGCCACCACTGAGGCCTTCACCTCAGATGTGTGCGACTGAACTGCAGCCTCAGTGCTATCCATGTGGTTTACACTGAACACTTTGATTTAAATGGCTGGTTTTCAATCAGCTATCTGCTACCACCCACCCTCATCCTTAACCCTGTCAACACACACACAGGCCAGACACATCACTTGATATTACAATGAAAACAGTACTGTCTTGCACATGGTGTAGCGATGCCTCCACTGGATAAAACTACTGATAAACGACTGACAGTCACCCGTATCTTTGATCTGCTCAGAAGAAATATATTTCAAGAAATGTGTGCTTCTTACTGTATATTTAAAACATAGAGAATGAATGATTTCAACAACATGCAAAGAGACATTTGGTCAAATGTGACATTGGTCACGTACTGATAGTAATGATCTCTGTCTGCACTGCAGATGGTTAACATTAGTATTGATAGTCTCTTGGATAAAACTAGTTGTACAGATCTGTCATTATGTAATATAATCTTATAACACTAGATTTCATTTATTTTTGTTTGTTTGTTTTTTTTTTCTTTAGATTTGCTGCATCAGATTTTTTTTCTTAATGGAGATTTTACTTTTGTGGTAATTTATTTGCGTGTACCATCTCTTGCAGATTGTCCTATTCAGTATGATTTGTAATTGAACAAGACCATGGAAAGTGAAGGGTTAAATTATTCCATTTTACATGTTCTTAGGTGTTAGTGGAAATAGTTGATAACAGGGCTTCTGAAACTGGAAGATGAGAGCAACCCGATTCTTGCTGCTTTTGAATCATTAGTCTGTTTTCATGTTTTCACTCTGGTGTACAAAATCAAGATTTAATAATATATTAAGCTTTCCTTTCTTTGGTGCGGGGGGATGTTGTATGTATGGAGAAAACGACAAATGTTAGCTGTGCTTTAAGTATGAATGGGATGTATTCCTGCTCATGGATGTAGAAAACAAAATGTATATGATACAGCAATGTAAAGTTTTCTATGTTGCAAAAAAGACTATGTACAACTTTCTGTACAATACATCACCTGGCATTCTAATCAGGTTCTAGGTCAAAGTTTTTCAACTTGGTTGATCTGAAATGCTGGATCTCTGATGCCTAAATGATAGAACTATTAGCTGTCTACATTATCAGCCATGACAACATCAGAATAATAACATTTTATTAGAAAATAAACTACAGTGTATATTTACAACTAAAACAAACTACATTAAAATATGCAAATGTATATGGTACAGTCACAGATACAGTATGTCCCTTCTGAGACTTTAATGGGCTAAATCTAAGCCATTAACCTACAATAAACATGTAAGTATGGATATCTGTTTGCAGGAAAACCACAACCTGCATCTGCAGAAAAGGGGGTGGGGTATTAATCTCAGGAGTCCAGCTGATGGGAGCTACATGCCACGGTCTGTTATCCAGGGCCGAGTGTCCATCCTGCTGTTTGGCCTCTGTCTACTGCCTGAGCGTTTTAAAGCCTGTGAGGTGCCGGGCCGTAGCCAGGGCTCTGTGGCAACGGTCTCCACAGAGACACGGCTCTCCAGGGCAGAATGCAGAGACAAGACATCCACTTCATCACTGCACAGCCCCTCTGGAGAATACAGAGGCTTATCTATCACACATTTGTTTCTGAGAGTAAAGAGCATTAAAGGATCATACACACATCGATTGGTTTGGGCTTATCAGTTCCACAGTTTAGAGAAAAGAATTTTTAACTGTTGGTTGAAAAGGTATTAATATAAGACGGGATGTGGGAAAATGTGTGAATACATATAAATTGCATTCACTCATCTCTATCAGTGGAGCAGTGCCGACCTGTGCCCCTCTTTCTTTTGTTTATCAAGCATTTGGCTTATTTATAGGTTTCTGATAAACACAGGCAAGTCAGTCATTTCACCTCACCTGATGTGCCATTGTGTTCACCAGTGTATGAGTCTTGTCTCCTGATGTGTTGCAAGTTGTGGGCTCTGACCTTAGCCTCACCGTTCAGCTCAGTCTCTACAGCTGACGACTGTAGAGACTGAGCTTCTGGCTCCTCCTGATTTTTGGAAACAGCCACGCCCTTTACAAAATAAAATTAAGTAAGAAGGGAGGAATTAACTTTCATTCATCACTTAATGTTAAACCAGAAAAGGATACTGCTCTGTAGTGACTCAGCTCATCAGCTTCATACATCATAGTCATGTCTCCTCCATGGTGCTGTCCTCTCCTGGGGTTCTGCTGGGGGCTGAGGGGGTCTCTGGTGAGTAACACGCTCCTCACTTGGATCGCCACTGTAAAGATCTGACAAAACCCAGAAGTCATGAATCTCTTTACAGCTGGATGAACTATAGAGATCATTCAGTTCGAATATGTATAATAGGGAAATGGTGAACATCGGTTTATTCAAGTCAACCTTTTACATGTATTCCTGCTCATGGATGTAGAAAACAAAATGTATATGATACAGCAATGTAAAGTTTTCTATGTTGCAAAAAAGACTATGTACAACTTTCTGTACAATACATCACCTGGCATTCTAATCAGGTTCTAGGTCAAAGTTTTTCAACTTGGTTGATCTGAAATGCTGGATCTCTGATGCCTAAATGATAGAACTATTAGCTGTCTACATTATCAGCCATGACAACATCAGAATAATAACATTTTATTAGAAAATAAACTACAGTGTCTATTTACAACTAAAACAAACTACATTAAAATATGCAAATGTATATGGTACAGTCACAGATACAGTATGTCCCTTCTGAGACATTCATGGGCTAAATCTAAGCCATTAACCTACAATAAACATGTAAGTATGGATATCTGTTTGCAGGAAAACCACAACCTGCATCTGCAGAAAAGGGGGTGGGGTATTAATCTCAGGAGTCCAGCTGATGGGAGCTACATGCCACGGTCTGTTATCCAGGGCCGAGTGTCCATCCTGCTGTTTGGCCTCTGTCTACTGCCTGAGCGTTTTAAAGCCTGTGAGGTGCCGGGCCGTAGCCAGGGCTCTGTGGCAACGGTCTCCACAGAGACACGGCTCTCCAGGGCAGAATGCAGAGACAAGACATCCACTTCATCACTGCACAGCCCCTCTGGAGAATACAGAGGCTTATCTATCACACATTTGTTTCTGAGAGTAAAGAGCATTAAAGGATCATACACACATCGATTGGTTTGGGCTTATCAGTTCCACAGTTTAGAGAAAAGAATTTTTAACTGTTGGTTGAAAAGGTATTAATATAAGACGGGATGTGGGAAAATGTGTGAATACATATAAATTGCATTCACTCATCTCTATCAGTGGAGCAGTGCCGACCTGTGCCCCTCTTTCTTTTGTTTATCAAGCATTTGGCTTATTTATAGGTTTCTGATAAACACAGGCAAGTCAGTCATTTCACCTCACCTGATGTGCCATTGTGTTCACCAGTGTATGAGTCTTGTCTCCTGATGTGTTGCAAGTTGTGGGCTCTGACCTTAGCCTCACCGTTCAGCTCAGTCTCTACAGCTGACGACTGTAGAGACTGAGCTTCTGGCTCCTCCTGATTTTTGGAAACAGCCACGCCCTTTACAAAATAAAATTAAGTAAGAAGGGAGGAATTAACTTTCATTCATCACTTAATGTTAAACCAGAAAAGGATACTGCTCTGTAGTGACTCAGCTCATCAGCTTCATACATCATAGTCATGTCTCCTCCATGGTGCTGTCCTCTCCTGGGGTTCTGCTGGGGGCTGAGGGGGTCTCTGGTGAGTAACACGCTCCTCACTTGGATTGCCACTGTAAAGATCTGACAAAACCCAGAAGTCATGAATCTCTTTACAGCTGGATGAACTATAGAGATCATTCAGTTCAAATATGTATAATAGGGAAATGGTGAACATCGGTTTATTCAAGTCAACCTTTTACTGAGAGGAGGTGAGATGAAAAAGGATAGGAGAGAAAGTAGTTTTTTTTTTATCTATCCACTTCTCAATTTCTCTACTGCCCACATTCCCAGTGTCTGGCATCGGGCTATCGCCACCTTGCAGCTGGCACCCTGCACCCTGAACAGGCACCAGCTGCAACACAGAGACATGAGCTGGCACGTGCCACCGTTATCCTGGCTCTGGGACAAAGAGACAGACTGATGTAGAATTAGTATTGTGAGGGTACATGTAGCTGACCTCCCAAGCCATGTCACGTTTATGGAAAATGTCTGGAGACATAGAAAAACAGGAATCCCAAAGAGTGCTTTGTCCATGGAAACACTATTCTCACTTGAAAGAAAAAGGGAACCTGGACAGTTGTTACAAACAGGTAATGTCTGCCAGACATACCAATGAAAGCAGTGTCAGATGGCAACAAGGTGTCACTGTGGATGAAGCGCCCAGGTTTGTTCCTCTGAGAGAAGACATAAACACACACAGGCACCAGTAAACCTCTCCATTTAAGAAGAATATATGCAGATGAGATTGACTTGTGTACTTTGCCAGATTCAAAGTACAGAATTGTAATATGAACACTCACAGGATATTGGCTCAGTTGCTGGTCCAAAATATCTGTAGAGAAAGACAGGACAATCCGTTAAAGAGCACAACAGGCGGAGGGGAAATTTGTGCAGGTGTGTGTATCTGCTCACTGACCATGCTCTTGTTCCTTCTTCATACGCATGATTTTGCTTTGTTGTTCGTGTAGAAGCGCCTGCTGCTGGATGTCCAGACTCTGTGCATCAGTGGGAGGGTCAGGGTACATGTGAAGGAACTCCTCACGGGATGCTGTGTCTGACAAATGCAAAGGTAAGAAAACTCAAACGCTCTATCTGTACTACAGTTGAAATCAAATGGCTTTCAGGTTGTATTCTTTGATGCAGCCATAACAATTGCATTAGAATGGAATATAAAGAATAAGAAAGGTGATGGCAGGAAGTACAGATTAGAGCCAGACATTAAATGAGAAACCAGCAATCGAAACCAGTATTTTGTTGGTTTTTACAAGCTGGTGTCTTTCAGACTCCTACATAAACTTGGTCTGGGAACACATTCAAAGCCATTTACTTGGTTGCTGACATTACAGCCTCCATTTATGCTGCCAGACTGCCCATCACTGATGCACACATCCAATGACCACATGAGATTAAAGTTTGAGTGTAGCTAGAGGGAGACAACTGATCAGGTTCCAGAAACCACCTGGCATTGATCCTCTTCCCTTGTCCTTACAGCGCTATGATATAAGAGGGGTCCTAAATGACTTCTTCAAATTTGTAAAAGTTCATTGGTTCAGAGTAGAGAAGCAAAGTAAGCAATATCATCCCTGTTACTGAGTGATAGAAGTAAGATAAAGAAATAGTAACTTTCACAAAAAAGTAACTACTTGATACCTGGGTCATATAAAAGGAAGTGACACTGGCAGGCAGAGGGTCACTGCTTGTAAATCTGCAGTCTAGGGCACATTTGAGATCACACAGAAACTGACAAAGGGTATTTTTGTCTTGCAGTGACCTGAGGGCGATCTTATTGGTAAGTAAAAATATGGCTTCATTAAATAAAAAACCATGTTCACTCATCAATGAATGTGCCTTTCATTACCTCTGTATTTAAGCTGGTTGAACTCCCTGATGTTCTGCATGTTAACACATGCAGCATCAGAGAACGGTCTCCTAGTTGTCTGCTGGTCAACTTTTATGTGCACCGATTCAGAGGCATCCACCCTGGGTCGTCCTCTGTGCCTGAGCAATGGAAGAAAACAGCACGTTAAACAGGCTGAATGCCCTTCAGCAACATGGATCATACATTAGTGCAGTAATAAGTCTGTGAAACTAATCTGAATGGAGATTAGATAGTCACTTTGACCTGGCTCACCTTCATTAGCTTAGAGCACACAAAAGCACCCTAAACAGCCATTTAACAAGACAGAATTAGTGCTTCGTCTTCACCTCAGTACATTTTGGGGGTGTATTAGGTCAAACTGAAGCCGAAGGGGTAGAGCTTCTCTAAAACACCCATTTTTAGCCAAGAAGAAAATTCTAAAATCCCATATATTCTGTGGACATTATCCACATTACTGCTGCTGTGCAGTGGTAATTGACTGTAATACCTGCTGGGGGGAGTGAAGTGACTCTCCTGTCGATCTGTTTGGCCCAACTGAGCCTCTATTTGTCTCTGCTCTTCCCTTAGATACCTGCAGAGGCCTGACAGCTCTCTGATCACTTCCTGTTGACCATCTAAAGCAAGCCGACAGAGAGAAGGAAGGCAGAGACAAGGATGGGAGCGATAAATGTTTAAGTGGCAATTTATGATTTACAAGCAGCCGGGCTTTGATTTTTTTTTTCTTTTTAGTGTGTTGTGTAAAGATAACTCAAAACAATCTTACTTTGCAGCGGGGGTATTTTTGGCCGGACTCGTCTGTAGTGTGGTGCCGATGCACAGTGCACCTGTTGTTGAAATTGTGAGCATGCTTTTATTTTAGATTTTCACCATTACATATTTGATATGAAAATATTTGCATTCGTTAGTGACATACAGTCCTGGAGGAGGACTGGCTCACAGCAGAGAAAGGTCTGAAGGTCATAGGGTTTGTCAGCTTGTTCTGCATGGTTGGGATAGGAGGAGATGGTTCTCTCTGCAAATTTAGAAGCAGAATCACATCTTGACAAAAATGTTCAGCAAAACAATACCAGTATGTTTTCAGACTTACTGTACCTTATAACTGAGCTGTGACTGTTTCTCCTGTCTGTCCCCAGTGCTCTCAGGAATTGTTTTCTCTGTCTCTTGTTCCTGTCGCACCCTCTTTTCCTTCTCTTGTCGTGTTTTAGCTTCATGGGTCCAACTTTGGTTCTCCAGTCTGTGCTGTAGAAGGAGTACAGAAAACAAATTTTCAGTGGCACACCCAGTGAAAGGAAACCCCTCTAACTGTAAGGAAGGAGACAAGAGAATAACTCCTCACCAAACTCTTCTTTTGCTTCCTTTGCTCTTCCTCATATTCCCACTGTATTCGAGCCCTTTGCTCTGCCAGCCTCTTCTCCTCTTTCTCCTCCTCAGCCCTCCTTCGTTCTCTCTCCTCTGCCTGTTTTCTCTTGTTTTCCTCTATCTGTTGGTAGTGATAAAGTTAGAACTACATCTTATATAACTACAACTCATCAGCAGCTACTTGTCCCCAGCGATGTGGTTGAAACCAATATAAAATTTTCTGAGGGGTTCACACACCAAAGCATATCATGCTTTTTTTTTTTAATTAACACCTTTATCTATCAGCCAAGCAGTTACCTGCATAAATTAAGGTTTGTGATTCAGGAACTACCTGTTGTTTCAGGGCTTCTTTATAGCTGTCCTGCCTGTGGAGCTGTTGCGAAGTTGGCTGATTGTTAAAACCTGCAAGGACATGTAGGAGGGTTGTCATTTAGAGCAATATATACACACAATCAGATGTATGTAAAATGCACTGTACTACTTTGGCACAGTCACCCAGAGAGACTGAAGACTACCTGATAGCTGATGGGAAAGGGGATTCCTGGCTTCAGCTTCAAGAGTGTGTCCATTCCTCATCAAAACCTTTTGTGTCTGTCCACTATTAGTGAGCACAGGATTCCTATAAGACTCCTCAATGATCCTGTGCATTTGATTCAGGTCACCTGAGGGCATTTCAGTTATTTGTAATGATACAACACAACAGTATCAGTAGTAACCTTATTAAAACAGGGCAACTAACTTACTAAAAAGGTTGCCTTTTTGGTCTTTGATTGGAGCGCCTCCCCCACTTCTCCCCCAGGGGTTGTATGCCATCATCTCAGCCTCTATCTTGGCCTCATATTGCTCCTTCTCTTCTTTCTCCCTTCTTTTAAGCTCCTCTCTTTCTTTGATCTGGACATAAGGAAGGCAAGATGTTTCAGACAATGCACTTTGCACTTCTGTCCCTTGACATAGTTGTGTTTATGTTTGTCTGCTAGTC